CCTTAAGGTGCAGGTCTCGAACGGCTTCCCTCCTTTCGTTAAATCTTTCGCTTTAGAGCCCTAACGAAGGACACGGGAGTTTGGGGTGGGTGGGTGGGTGGGTGTGCGCGTCTTCGCATTGCTGTTATTACTGCAGTTGGCCCCCCTGCATTTAGGGTCTGGGGGGTGTGGATTGAGCTACCTGGTAAGCTCAGCTCCTCTGGGGGTTTCTGCGTCCTAAGGAAGGGGACAGGAGCGGTGTGCATTCACCCGGTCATTCCCCGGGCCTCACCTTGCATTTCTAACAGGATGATGTTAATAGCTAATATTTTCACTGGAGAAGTGCAGTTTTCAGCCCCCACCCCTCTGCACAAAGCCAAGCCAATTTCTTGCAGTAACTTTTGCTTTGACCCCTTAACAGTTACCCCACGAGTCATTTAGGATTTAATCAGACCATCTGGCCAGATCATATTCATACGGCTCCGTATTATGCTGGCCTGATACGTAATGGTGGTAATGGTAATGGTAAGCCTGCCCGGCTGCCGTCTCCTACAATAAACAGCCTGCCCGGCTGCCGTCTCCTACAATAATTCCTGAATTATTTTCCAACATCAAAAACAACCTACGTGGAACATTCAATGCTTTTTGCTCAGCACTTAGCTTGCCTCCTCTCCCTGGATGGTGCTCAGTGTACTGAGCTAGGTTGGAACTGGGGGGAGATTTTTTTTTTTACAGTCCGATTGCTTTTTCTCAGTATTATTTGCTTCCAGGACACTGTGCAACCACTCCTCCCAGTTCTCCACCAGATTCCTCTCAAAATGAACCATTCAGGTGGATTCAGAGAGTCTGGTTTTTGCTCACCATTTTGATTTTCCTGCTCACGCTCAATGAAAGGGGGATGTACAGAAACAGTGTTAATAATTTACCTCTGTGCCATTGCCTTGGACAAAGTTTACCAAAACATCCTCAGCTACTTGCTGGGAGAGGCATTCATTGTGTCCACCAGTTAATGTCACCAGGATAGCTATTTCTACACTGTCTCTGTGAGTTGCCTCCATAAGATAGTGAGTCAGGCAGTTTTGGATGGGTATTGCAAGTGCTATTTGCCCTGGTACTGACGTTCCTGCAAAATCACGGCCTCTGGGGCCTTCTGGATCAGACCCTGTTATGAGCTCCCACCTCTGGAAAGCTGGACTCTTTTCTCAGGTGCACTGAAGCTCCCAGAATGGTTTCTCAGCAACCAGCTGCTTAGTATGTAATTGGGTGCTGAATTTTTAGTTCAGTTTAGGGTTACGCTCATTTATAGGTCTTGTCTACATGTGATTACATATACCCCTCATCAGTTAATGTGTGGACGCTTACTCCAGAATATGAATACTTCAAAGCGTGTCTACCATGGCATGCTGAAGAGCGAGTAGAGAGGCCTTCGTGGATTCAGGCTGCTTGACTACCAGAAGCCAAAGAAAGAGCTGCTCTTCCATACGGCAGAGCCGTGAGCTAATGCCCAGGACTCTCAAAAGACAGCCACGGGGTCAGATACACGGTGAACTCCCGGGGGTTCAGGAATGCAAGCCTTTATTTTTCATAAGCCACGACATGGTGCAAGGACGAGACTTCCCATGTCTGGGTAGAAGAGGCGTGGTGTTAGGAAAACCTGCCAGCTCGCTCCTGTCGCAGCCCGGGCACTGTAGCGGCCCTCGGTTCTTGCTGTAGCCCAAGCTGCCCTACGGTCTTATCTCCTGGCTGCTCCTACCTGCAGCTTTCTTGTCTGGGAGAGACCTTCCTCCTTGCCTCTTGCATTGACATTACTCTGGACATCCCAAAAGCAGGAGCTGCTCTCCCCGGGCTCAGGTGCATCCCTGCGCTGCAAGGCAGCAGTGCCACCTCGGGGCACTTCCCAGAATTGGGAAGTCTGCTAAAATACGGGTCAGCGTTCACATTTTTGCGCTCCTACAGTGCCATCGGGTTTATGCTAGCAGGAGAGCTTTCCAAAACTTGAACTACCTGCTGTGCTTTCTCAGCTTATTTGTCACGCTGCTTTAGAAACTCTGTTCAAGTCAAAACACCTCTCCCAGCACCCCAACTGCCATTTGGTATCAGCCGGTGAGGACTTGTGCCATCTTGGTTTCCCCAAGAGTACGAGTCTGCCTTTTGGTGAAGTGCACAGCTCCATACAGCTGTGCTTGTTCCTTCTTCTGGATTAGCTCTGAGAAACAGGGCTGCTGCGGCTGTTTCGGTCATTTAATACTTTGCACTTAAACCACTCTTGATATGTTCCCTGGATTGCTGCTCGGATAGGCAGCAGCTGCCGTCATGAATAAAATCTCTGTTACTAGCAGCAAGGGCAAATACTTTGTTTGAAGTTTAGAAGTTAAGTGGCCGTGAGCACTGGCTTACGCTCTGTCTAGGGCTGCCGTTAAGGTCAAGGTTTTCCTTTTATACGTGTTCCCAGGTATTTTATGTAGGGCTAGTACTGGTACTTGATAGCAAACCAGCACCACATCTGAATAACACAGCCCAAAATAACCACAGTCATGAATCTTTAACAAAGCCCCCTTCTGTTACAAGCCCTCTTCTGTATTACACTGATACAGACCGTTATACAAACAGCAACTGTGTGGTTTATCATTTGGATGCCATCGATAAGCATTCAGGAGGCCAAACCAAGCAGAATTCATTTCTTCCCCAGAGCCAGGTATTTCCCCTGCTCCTTAACAGCCCACCGGCAGAGGCATAATGTGCAGTGCTACATAATCCTCGCCAATATCCCCTCTGCAGCTCCCGAGGAACCCATGCATGAAGTCTACTTCTTAAAGCTGCTTTTTTCCTTTTGAAAGTAGTAGCATCAAGACAATCAGGAAAAGCTTAGAGCCTTCTGCTACGTTTAAGCTCTGTTGGACCTCTTCTTCAACAGCAGACATTAGATGTTTCATTCTTGCACACTTAGGAGAGCAAGGGCTGCACAACACCTGTGCTGACAGAACACCTACTGCCCAGCCTTCATTCACCTCATCCAAGCTGCATCAAGCCTCAGGAGTGTGGTCTTGGTAAGATACCACGGTGCTTACAGAAGGAAAATTTTCCCAAACTTAAATAAGAATATTGCCTGTGACCAGTTCTAGCAAAGGGCAGTAGCCACCGCTACTTCCAGTAGCAGTACCTGGCACAAACTCCTGGGACAGTTTCTCATCTTGCACTTTCCAGCCGGGACCAGGGTGAAGAAGATGACTTCTGGTCAGCTGTGTTCGCTGGGCAGCTGCGTAGACACATACATTCAAACAGGAAAACTTGCTGGATTTCTTTTTATTGTGATAGAAAAAAACCCCACAAATAAATCAAAACGTCACTTTCTGCCTAAAGACATTATTAACATTTTTAAAATGGCACGGGGGAACCCCAGCAATACAAGACAGAATAGTAAGTGTGGGCAAAAGGGTTCTGTTCCCCGTCAGGAGTTCAGTTTCCCCGCCCCTTTGTCAATCAGCTGGCTGAAGTTCGTCACCTATATACACTTACATACACTTCTCAGTCTAGTTTGTATTCCTATGAGTAGGTATGGCTGGGTGGAATGTTGGGGGCACAGTCCTGCAATTTACACATAACCGTCTTCGGAGAAAATGGGTTTCCTAAGAGGCCTACAGGGTACAGGGGTCTCATTACCCAGTAAGACCAAGCAAACAGGATTCCCTCCTACAGTTCTTTTGCCACGAAACACAGAGTAGGTCCCGAGCCCAGGAGACCCTCCAGGAGCTCCTTGGCTATTGCAAACAGTACATGGCCAAGTGAAATTTTACCCGGTGACCTTAAAGTAGCAGCACTATCTCTGCAAAGGGGCTGCTCAGGAGGGGAAAAGGCAGACTGCAAAACATATGGGATGAACATCTTCCTTTTCTTTCCTGCCTCCTCAGAGGATGTAAAAAGTCCTGAAGTAGGCAGCCAAGCAGAAACCAGGCTCAGGACCTCCAAAGTGGTGGACATACAAGGGATATCCTCATTGTGCAAGAGTGTGGGGCAGAAACCGTGGCACCAGTGCTTCCACCGCAGGCAGCTGCGCCTGAAGTGATAGTTTGCTGAAAGACAAGCAACCACAGCTGTGCTGCTTGCAGGTACCAAACTAGCATACCTAGATGCTGGGCTGGACTGTATCAGCTCGAGTATACCTGTTCAACTGAGAAAGCTCCAAGATCTCTAACATGCTACAGCATTTTGTGGCACAGTCACGTGTATTAAGATGAGAGGCTGGTTACACTTCACAGAATAGGTACGGGAAAAGCCTGGAGAGGCTATACATACTAAACAGGAAAACTAAGCTACGGCTTAGCAGAAAACAAACACTTACCAATCCTTCCTCCAGAAGCACCAAAAAGCATTCATAAACGATTTATTATAGAATGCTTTCTGCAAACAGGACATTTTGATGGGGAAAGATTGAAAGCTTTTGTATAAACCAATCTGTACTAACTGCTACAGTTGTCTCCAAGTCCAGTCCATCAAATGAAATGCTTAAGGAGAAGCTGATGGCACAAGCAGATAATGCCAAGGCAAAAAAATCTGGGCTGCAAGGGCCACTGCTGTGCACTGAGAGCAGGTACACACAGAACTGCAGAATGGACCGACAGTACCCTATTTCCACTGTGTAGTGCAAGGTGCAGGGCAAGAGGGTGTTTGACAGAGTGACTAAACTGCAGTTTTCCTCCATTCCATCCCCTCAAAAATATGAACCATTATAGTCCACACTGAGTAACAGCATGAGAAACTTATCAAACTGTATTATTCTGGGAGAAAGAGCCCAGCAGAGGAGAGACATCTCCTTTAGGTATGCAGAAGTTTCCAGTGCAGGAAGTTTGAGATGCAGGACTGAACTTGCAGCAATACTTTTCACAACAAAGCACTGGACAAAGGGCTATACATTTTCATAGATGCTTTTTCAGCAGCATCTGGGATGTGCAATGCCCATTTATGGAGCGTCAGCAATATTTTCAGGTTTGTCCGATGTCTTTCTTTTGCTCCTTCCTAAATGTAACTGCTACAAATTGTTCAGGAAAATAGTGTATATACATGCATGAAAAGAAATCAGTGTGCCTATTCTTTCATTCCCCTGATCTTTTTCCACTGCAAATAATTGCAAAGCTATAAGAATCTTAAACTAGAAGATGCAGTATTGATACAATGTAATGTCAATCTAAGGACAGGACTGCTTCTGCATGTATCCCAATAAACTCAATTGTTCCACAGAAAAGCTTAATTTTACTCTTCCTCGTTTTCTTTACATTTGGGGAGACCTACCACCTATAAGCAGAGCCCTCTCTGATGTGCTTGACTGCTTTGGAAAGGATAGCAATATCAAAGAAAGTTGGAACTCCTACTGTGTCTGCAACTAGATATTGAAGGCAGAATTGGTCCACCTTATATTATCGTGCAGTTGCCATGCTATTCCTGCCTTACTGTACTGTAACTCTGGTTTGGTAAGAAAAAAACCACAGCTCTTACGCAAAGGTAAATAGTTAACAAGGTTCTGTCTATCTGCTGATAAGCTTACATGCGAGAAAAGGAAACATTTCACTTCATTTTACTTTCACCTGAAATTTGTTTCCACATCTTCCGCTCATGAGATTCTGTTCCTTCGGCTGGTTCTTTCCCATAACTCTTGGATCTAGCATTACGAGGCTCTTGGTAACCTTCAGTTCCAGCCTCCCTCCCACACGCAGCTAGTCCCATTGAAAGTTTCAACTTTTGAGTGTGACACCGACACACAGTTCAGTTCCCACACAGCTGTGCCACTGCAAATATTCTAATCAGACGAGTTCCGCTTTTCCCCTGAGCAAACAACATAATGTCAATGAAATATGCAGAAGACTAATCCTGGGACACCTTCACCTCCTAGGCTACCAATACTTTCTTTGTCTTTTTGCTACAGACTTCAGCAAATACCCCCGTAATATAGACAGTGACAGGAGAAAGAGATGCAAGCCTGCAAGGGACGGCTAGGACATCTCCTTATTTACTCCAAATTGTGTAACGGGCCCTTGAATGCTCACGGAATGAATTCCCACTTACCAGCACGGGAGTTACTTAGAAAGTGTCAGCCTACTCAGACAAGACAGCCTTTATAAATTAGTATAATACTATTAGAAATTATGGCAATCTTTTTGGTAGCACTGTCTTACATGCACCCTGATAAATCCTCTCCCTAGGAAATTTTAAAACTTGTCTTGTAACTGCTGTAGAGTTAATTCTGATGGGAAATTATAAAATAGAAATCTGGTAGATTCATGTTTAAAAAGGAAGAGGCCTGGTGAGGCTGGGCACACTGGGTCACTCCTGTTAGCTCTGTCCATTATGTCTGCTGAAGGTATTTCCTCCGGGTGGCTGGATCTGGATGGAGTCCAGGAGGGGCCTTAAAGCTTGTCCAAAAGGTCTGAGAAGGTAAAGAAATAAACATCTCAAATAGCTTACTTGGTGAACAACTTTTCCCATTTACTACTGAAGTGCATTCACTTCCTAGAGTGCACTCAAACCAACATTGTAGAAGCAAATTTGAAGAACAGACTTCCACTAGAAACTAAAGCAAACTAATTTAACCTATTAAAGAGAATTTACTGTTCAATAACTAAGAATCTTGAACATGATTTTATATAAGCTAGTTCTGAGTCCTAACATGCCCAGACTGCTAATGTGGTAATACCGTGTCTGAAACTGGCTTTTAGTAATTCATTCTACTTAAGCGTGCGAACGAAATCCCTGTTATGCAACTTCAGTGCTCCACTAAATATCACATCAATATTAAAGACTGTGAGAAGAATAGCCTCTAGCTCCCTTGCAAGACAATGGTTCAACACTCACAGAATAATTTCTGTTGCAATCTGTAGCACCTGGTGTATCTTTCAATATGACTCACTCTGTTATAGACTTTATCTGATTGTGAGAGATCTGAAGTGATAAGAGACCAGGGTAGAAGACATGTGTCTCCCAAATAACGTGGTATACCATTGTTACAAGAAATAAGACCTAAATGATGGAGCTCAAATCATCGCACTGGGATCCTCACTAGCTGAAA